TCGGTCGTCGACCGTCGTCGACCGTCGTCGTCGTCGTCATCGTCGTCGTCGTCGTCGTCGTCAATCACCGTCGCTGGTCGTCGTCGCCGATCGTCGATCGCCCTCGAGCCTCCTCCTCTCTCCCCCCTCCTCCCCTCCACTCCTCCTCCCTTCCTCCTCCTCCTTCTCCTCTTCCTCCTCCTCCTCCTCCTCCTTCGCCCTCTCCGTCTCCTCCGCGCGGAAGAAATCCAACGACATCTCACGCAAATCAACGAACTGTGGCCATCCGGGCCTTTTTGAAGGTCCTTTTAGGGCCCTTTGGGGGCCGTCCTGGGGCCCTCTTGGGCGTCCTAGAAACCCGGAAATCATGTTCCCGGAGAGGCTTCTGGGAACATGATTTCGAACGAGGCCCTCTTGGGCCTTCCTGAGGCCGTCTTGGGGGCCTCCTGGGCCGGCTTTGGGGCCTCTTGGGCCGTCTTTGGGGGGTTCCGTGAGCCTCACAGGACGACCCGTTTGGGCCGTCGTGGGCCCTCTTGGGTCTCTTCTGGGCTGTCTTGGGGCTCGGGGGCGTCTGGGGCACTGTGAGGACCAAGCAAACGAATATGCTGAAAATGCATGCTTTACGAATGGGAATGGGCCGGTGTTTGCCTCTTGAAGACCCTCTTGGGGCCCTCTTCGGCCATCTTCAAGCCATCTCGGGCGCTGTTGGGGCGCTCTTGAGCGTCTTGGGGCCCTCTTGTGCCTCGCTGAGGCTGTCTTGTGGGTCTCTTGGGCTGTCTTTGGGGCCTCATGGGCCGTCTTGGGCGGGTTCGTGGACCCCACAGGACGCCCGGGGCGGCCATGCCAACCGGTGGCACCATCCCACCCCCGCCCCCGGGCCCCGTCCGTCTGTCCTACTGCTCCTCTCCAAACCCTCGTTCCCTAACCTCCCGATCATGTTCCCGGACCCCCGTCCCTTCCCCCCAGAGCACCGCAGCAGTAGGAAAGCGTTCGGAAACGGTAAGAAATCATGTTCCCGGAAAGCGTTCAAGAATATGAGTCGTACGTCGTCCAAGGCGCCTCGGAAGGCGCAGAATACTCCTCCAAGGCGCGGAATCATGTTCCCGGACCGCCTTCCGGGAACATGATGGGGACGACCTCCTGAGGGCCTCCAGTGGGCCTCTTGGGGGCCTCTCGGAGGCCTGTTGGGCTCTCCTGGAGGCGTCTTGGGGCGCGCTCAGGGTCATTCTTGGTCATCTTGGGGGCCTCTGGGGGCCTCCGGGGAGGCTCTTGGGGGCCTCTTTGGGGCCTCTTGGGGCCTCGCGGGGCCCTCTTGGGGACCGCTGGGCTCGCTTAGGCAGTCTTGAAGCCCTGTCGGGGCTCTCCTGGAACCGTCTTGGGCGGCTCCTGGCCATCTTGGGGCTCTCCTGGGCCGTCTTGGGACGATTTTGGGGGTCTCTTGGGCCGTCTTGGGGCGGTCTTGGGGGCCTCTTCGGCCGTCTTGGAGTGGTTTTGGGAGACTCTTGGACGGTCTTGGAGCGTCGGAACCCTGAAAAAGCGAGAAGGCCAAAAACCCGGACAAATAATAATAATAATAATAATAATAATAATAATAATAATAATAATAATAATAATAATAATGATAATGATAATAACAATAACAATAACAATAATAATAATAATAATAATAATAATAATAATCAGCGATTTTGGCTTGTCGCGGCTCTCTTGGGAGGCCTCTTGGGATGCCTTCGGGGCCTCATGGAGCTCTCTTGGAACGTCTTCGGGGCTTCCTGGCCATTCCTGAGGCTATCTATACGCGTCTTGGAGCGCTCGCGGGCCGATTTCGGCGGTCTCGATCTGTTCCTGGCGGTCCCAGGGGCCCTCCGGGACGCTTCGGACGCTCCCGGGGGCGCCCTGCACCCCCCATGGAGATGACAGGCACCGCCCCGGGGCCCTACTCCGATATATCTATATATATTTATATATATATATATATATATATATACACGGAAGAAATTGAAATACGTGGAAGGAAGTGGCACGACTCGGGAGGGCTTGGGCGAGGGGTATATATAGAGAGAGAGAAACATACGTAAGACATGTAGGATTGTGCACACAGGAGAAGGACAATCTATAGAAACATACGTACGTCGTCCAAGGCGCCTCGGAAGGCGCCTCGGAAAGCGCAGAATACTCCTCCAAGGCGCGGAATCATGTTCCCGGACCGCCTTCCGGGAACATGATGGGGACGACCTCCTGAGGGCCTCCAGTGGGCCTCTTGGTGGCCTCTCGGAGGCCTGTGGGGCTCTCCTGGAAACGTCTTGGGGCGCGCTCAGGGCAATTTTTAGACATCTTGAGGCCTCTCGGAGGCCTCCAAGGAGGCTCTTGGGGGCCTCTTTGGGGCCTCTTGGGGCATCGCGGGGCCCTCTTGGGGCCCGCTGGGCTCGCTTAGGCAGTTATGAAGCCCTGTCGGGGCTCTCCTGGAACCGTTTTGGGCGGCTGCTGGGCCATCTTGGGGCTCTCCTGGGCCGTCTTGGGACGATTTTGGGGGTCTTTTGGGCCGTCTTGGGGCGGTCTTGGGGGCCTCTTCGGCCGTCTTGGAGCGGTTTTGGGAGACTCTTGGACGGCCTATATATACACACATATACGTATATGTACATTATATAAACATATATATATATATATACGGAAGAAATTGAAATACGTGGAAGGAAGTGGCACGACTTCGGAGGGCTTGGGGGAGGGGTGTATATACACACTTATACGTATACACATATATATATATGTATACAGAGAAAGAGAGAGAGAGAGAGAGAGAGAGAGAGAGAGAGAAACACACGTAAGACATGTAGGACTGTGTACACAGGGGAAGGACAATCTATAGAAACATACGTACGTCGTGCAAGGCGCCTCGGAAGGCGCCTCGGAAAGCGCAGAATACTCCTCCAAGGCGCGGAATCATGTTCCCGGACCGGACCGCCTTCGGAACATGATGGGGACGACCTCCTGAGGGCCTCATATATATATATATATATATATATGTAAGGAAGTGGCACGACTCGGGAGGGCTTGGGGGAGGGGTGTATATATATACGTATATATATATACATATATATATGTATATATACATATACATATATATAGAAACATACGTAAGACATGTAGGATTGTGTACACAGGAGAAGGACAATCTATAGAAACATACGTACGTCGTCCAAGGCGCCTCGGAAGGCGCCTCGGAAAGCGCAGAATACTCCTCCAAGGCGCGGAATCATGTTCCCGGACCGCCTTCCGGGAACATGATGGGGACGACCTCCTGAAGGCCTCCAGTGGGCCTCTTATATATATACATATATATACGTAAGACATGTAGGATTGTGTACACAGGAGAAGGACAAGCTATAGAAACATACGTACGTCGTCCAAGGCGCCTCGGAAGGCGCCTCGGAAAGCGCAGAATACTTTTCCAAGGCGCGGAATCATGTTCCCGGACCGCCTTCCGGGAACATGATGGGGACGACCTCCTGAGGGCCTCCAGTGGGGCCTCTTGGGGGCCTCTCGGAGGCCTGTTGGGCTCTCCTGGAGGCGCCTTGGGGCGCGTGTGTGTATATATATAAGGAATAAATTGAAATACGTGGAAGGAAGTGGCACGACTCGGGAGGGCTTGGAGGAGGGATATATATATATATATATATACATACATACATACATATATAGACACATACGTAAGACATGTAGGATTGTGTACACAGGAGATGAACAATCTATAGAAACATACGCACGTCGTCCAGGGCGCCTCGGAAGGCGCCTCGGAAAGCACAGAATACTCCTCCAAGGCGCGGAATCATGTTCCCGGACCGCCTTCCGGGAACATGATGGGGACGACCTCCTGAGGGCCTCCAGTGGGCCTCTTGGGGGCCTCTCGGAGGCCTGTTGGGCTCTCCTGGAGGCGTCTTGGGGCGCGCTCAGGGCCATTTTTGGGCATCTTGGGGGCCTCTGGGGGCCTCCGGGGAGGCTCTTGGGGGCCTCTTTGAGGCCTCTTGGGGCCTCGCGGGGCCCTCTTGGGGACCGCTGGGCTCGCTTAGGCAGTCTTGAAGCCCTGTCGGGGCTCTCCTGGAACCGTCTTGGGCGGCTCCTGGCCATCTTGGGGCTCTCCTGGGCCGTCTTGGGACGATTTTGGGGGTCTCTTGGGCCGTCTTGGGGCGGTCTTGGGGGCCTCTTCGGCCGTCTTGGAGCGGTTTTGGGAGACTCTTGGACGGTCTTGGAGCGTCGGAACTCCGAAAAAGCGAGAAGGCCAAAAACCTGAGAAAAAAACAATAAAAATCGACGATGTTGGTTTGTCGGGGCTCTCTTGGGAGGCCTCTTGGGATGCCTTCGGGGCCTCATGGAGCTCTCTTGGAACGTCTTCGGGCCTTCCTGGCCATTCCTGAGGCTATCTATGCGCGTCTTGGAGCGCTCGCGGGCCGTCTTGGGCGGTCTCGAACTGTTCCTGGCGGTCACAGGGGCCCTCCGGGACGCTTCGGACGCTCCCGGGGGCGCCCTGCACACCCCATGGAGATGACAGGCACCGCCCCGGGGCCCTACTCCGATATATATATATATATATATATATATATATATATAAATATATATATATATATACTAGAACCACGCGCGCGCGCTTCGCGCGCGCTTAGGTTCTAGTCCAACCCATGGCGCTGTGATGAAACAGAGGTCGGGGGTTCCGGGCGACTCGCAATCGGAGAAGAGTTGTGTCCGTCTTGGGCCGGTTATGGAATGTCGCAGGGCTCCCTTGGACTGGCTTTGGGGCTTTTCAGGCGCTCTTGTGGGGGGGGCAGGTGTCTGTGGCCCCGATGGCGCCGTCCAGGGTTGCCTCTTCGTTGTCACGACGCGCAGGTTTTGGCTTGCGGGTTCGTCGGGGAGGTCGCTGAACATTCTTCTTGGGGCATTGACTGGCTTTATGATGAAATGTCGAGGCCGTAGTTTGCTGCTCTTTGGATGTCGTCACATGTTCTTGGCTTGGCTTGCCGAATATGTAC